GACGTGCGTTAGAATATAACTTTGCCACAGATTCTTTCCTGCCAAGAGAAAGATATAGTGATCACTAAAGGAAGGAGGAGGTGGTACAAAAGGTGATAGCTGTAGGCGATGATCTAATGGAGTGACTCAAGTACAGTTCTTAGGTGGAGGTGGGGTAGGCTTCCCTGAATATGTGAGTTTTCAAAGATCACCTAAAGGCAGACAGCGTGGGGACTGATCGGACATATTACAGTAGGGAGTTCCAGAGGATGGGAGAGGCTCTGGAGAAGTCCTAGAGGCAAGCATGGGAGGAGGTGACGAGGGAGCTAGAGAGCAAGACGTCTAGGGAGGAGTGGAGCGAAAAATTGGACGATATCTGTGGATGAGGTTACAAAGCCATCCATAACACTACCCCTAGCTACATCACGTAGCTAGGGGCAGTGTTGTGGATGGCTTTGTATGTTGTGGTTAGTATTTTGAGTTTTAAACGTTGGGTTAGTGGAAGCCATTGAAGGGATTGGCAGAGAGGGGAAGCAGTCACTGATCGGTTGGTAAGGTGTATGAGTCTAGCAGCAGCATTCATAATAGACTGAAAGGGAGATAACCAGTGTAACTGTAGACCAGTGAGGAGGGAGTTGCAGTAATCAAGGTGGGATAGAACCAATGTGTGGATAAGTTGTGGTGTCATTGTTCAGTAAGAGTGGATTTTTAAAATGTTGCGGAGGTTGAGGCGGCAGGATTTAGCCAGTGATTGGATGTGGGGCCCAAACGAGAGGTCAGAGTCTAGGATTACATCTTAGCACCCTGGCATGAGGGGAAGGACCAATGTTTGTGCTGTTGATCTTAATGGTAAAGTCATGAGTGGGGGATCGGAGAGGAGGGAAATATTACAAGTTCGGTTTTGGAAAGATTGAGATTAAGATAGTGGTGTGGCATCCATACTGACATGTTGCTTAGAATATTTGTGATACGTGAGGAGATTTAGGTGGTGAGCTGGGGAGTGGAGAGATAGAGCTGGGTGTCATCAGCATAGAGGTGGTATTGGAAGCAATGGGAGGTTATCAATTTGCCCAGGGAAGAAGTGTAGAGAGAGAAAAGGAGGGGCCCAAAGACAGAGCATTGGGGTAGCCCAACAGAAAGAGGAAGAGGAGCGGGGAAGGAGTTGTATGTGACACTGAAAGCGTGCTGAGAAAGGTAAGAGGAGAACCAAGAGAGAGCAGAGTCATGGAGGCCAATGGAGTGGAGTTTACTGAGGAGGAGTGGGTGGTCGACTGTGTCAAAGGCACCAGAAGGTCTAGGTCTAGGAGTACGAGTATGGAGTAATAGCCATTGATTTTAGCAGTTAGTAGGTCTTTATTGAGTTTTAGTAGGGCAGTTTCAGAGGAATGTTGTGGGCGGAAGCCAGACTGTAGGAGGATGGAGAAGGTTGTTGTCAGTGAGGTAGCAGTTAATACGATTGTGGACAAGGCACTCGAGAAGCTTGGAGGCTAACAGGAGCAGGGAGATGGGTCTTAAGTTATTCAAACAGGTGGGATCCAGCAAGGGTTATGTATGGGGGTAACCACTGCATGTTTGAGCTGGGAGGGAAAGGTGCCTGTGGAGAGAGAGGTTGAAGATGCGGGTTAGAGAGTTTAGGATATAGCTAGAAAGAGGCTGTGATAATCGTAAGGGGACAGGGTTCAGGGGACAGGGGGTAAAGTGAGCCTTGGAAAGGAGTTCACTAACTTTCTCGGTGGTAACAGGGTTGAAGGAGGAGAGTGTTGAGCATGGTGTTGAGCCTGGTATGTTGGTTGGAGGAAGAAGCTTGACACTGGAGATCTCATCATGAATTGTATCCATCTTGTTCTTGAAATGACTGGCAATCTCCTGTGCAGTAAATTGGTGGGCGGAGGCAGTGGGGGGGGGGGTGGAGTAAGGAATTAAGGGTAGAAAAGAGTTGGGAAGGATTGGATGACAGGGTCTTGATGAGAGTTTTGTAGTAGGTTTGTTCAGCAGCGTGGAGGACGGAGTTGTATTTGAGAAGAGCGGATTTGTAGAGGGTAAAGTTTTTCAGGGATTTATTTTTTATGCCATGCTCACTCAAGAGCACGGTTGTGTCTCGAATCTTTTGGTGTCATGTGTTTGCCAGGGCTGTGACAGGAGAGGTCTGGTTCTGCGTGTAGAGAGGAGCAAGTGCGTCCAGGGAGGATGATAGATAGTTGTTGTAGGCAGATGTGGCCAGGTCTATGCAGGACAGGGGTGCAAATTTATCATAAAGCCACTCAACAGCAGAGTGAAGAAGGTCAGGGCTGAGGTGGTGGAGGTTTCTACGGGTAACCGTTTGCTGGTTGGAAGCATGGGAGGTAGGAGACAGGGAGAGTGTGAAGCTGGTAAAGTTGTGATCAGAAAGAGGAAAAGGGGTGTTAGAGAGGTTACAGGGAGTACATCGGTGGGAGAATACAAGGTCGAGGGTGTTGCCGTTAGAGTGGGTGGTGATTTGTGTCAATTGTGTTAGGTTAAAAGAGAATGTTAGGTTGAGTAGTTGAGAAGTGGCTGAGGTGTGTTAATATCACAATCATATATATTTATATACTGAATCAAACACCACACAGCCAGAGAATCAATGTCCCCAATTTCTGTAGCTTAGGAGGTGTTGAAGATAAACAAGAAAAAGTCATATGGATGACTGAAAGGTCTTAGTGTGTTTTTGCCCAAAGGCTTCTTCAGGGCACAGAGCCAGCTGGCTTGGAAATCACACCTCCCAAAAAGCAAAGATAAATCCACTCAAAATATAAGAAACATTCTTCCCTGTGTAATATCCCCCATAGGCCTATAATACTACAAACAGTCCACTATTGTAAAGATGGACACACTCCTCCAATGATCTCAAAAATGATCCCACATGTATGTACATACATGTGTTGGCCTTTTGAGATTCTTTATTACTGGAGGAGTGTGTTAATCTTTACTGTATTGGGCTGTTTGTGTATTATAGGTCCCCAAGGGGGATATTACATAGAGAAGGACAAGACCACAGGGTCTCTGTGTGTGGAGGACTTCTCGGTTTTTATCCCAATTACTACAGTGAGACACTTTCTATTCTTTGCTTATATTTTGAGCAGATTCATCTTTGCTCTTCTGGGTGGTGTGATTTTCAGGCTAGCTGGCTCTGTTATACTTTAAAAAACACTTTTATTTTGATCTGAACACAACCCATTGTCTTCCCTAAGGCTCCGTTCACACCAATGCATTTTTTAGTGCTTTTTGCAGAAACGCACTACAGTTAACATGGTTTCCTATGGAACATGTTCACATCTATACTTTTTTGAGCTGATGCATTTTTGGAAAGGGTCAGGGGCTTTTTTAAAAGCAAAAAGCAGCATGTTTGCTATAATAGAGTAGTGTGTTTTTGCAACGTTTTGCATTTCTATTCTGCTCAGCAAAAAAAAAAAAATTCCACTAAAAAAAAAGTTGAACAAAACACAAAACGGGTTTAAAATGTGTCAAAAACACATCAAACACATAAAAACACATGTAGAAAAACCAAAACGAACTGTGAAAAGCACTGCAAAAAGGACAAAAAGCAAACTGCATAGGTGGGAACGGAGCCTAAAGAAGCCTTTGGGTGAAACACATTGGGATTTATCGCTCATCTACAGCAATTTTTCTTGCTTATTTTCAACACCTCCTAAGCTAAAGAAATAGGGAACATTGATTAACCGGCTGTGTAATATTTGATTCAGTATATAAGTATATACTATATGCAGGGGCGGACTGACCATTTGGAAACTCGGGCACTGCCCGAGGGCCTGGGGTCAGTAGGGGGCCCCATGAGATGCCCCTGGTACCTTTTCATAGGCTTTTTTGGGTGTGGTTTGATTTTGGGTGAGGACACAGGGGCCCCATGATCCCCTATTGCCCGGGGGCCCCATGAGTTATCAGTCCGCCCCTGACTATATGGCTGTGATGTGCTATACTGGGATTATGCACTAATATTTACATGTGTAGCTAGGTTTTGTTACTATGACCATATGAATTTTGATGATCTTAAATACAATTGGGCCTTTTAGCTATATATTTTGCCCTTTAAAGTAACTAGGCTTTGGACCCAAGAGTTGAATTTAAATAAAGGTCAATATTTTAAAATATGTGCAAGATTACCCACCTCAAAAGTTCCACTTGTATCAATTCCTTGGTATATCAGGGGTTAAAGTGGTTGTAAATGCTGAGGGTTTTTTACCTTTATGCATGAAGGTAAACAATACCTTCTGTGTACTGCCCTTCCCACAGCCCCTCAATACTCACCCAAGCCACCTCTCGATCCAGTGATGTGCACAGGAGCCTCGGTTGTCCCTGGTCTCTCATTAGCAGGACCATTGGTTCCCCAGTGTGCCAATGAGGAGAGAGCAAGGGGCAAGGCCAAGCCGCGGCTCCATGTGTCTTCTGGATGCATAGAGTGGGGCTCAGGAGCGAGCACGCACCAGTGCCCCCATAGCAAGCGGCTTGCTATTGGGGGCACTGGTCAAGGGGGAGGAGCTAGGAGAGCTGGAGGAGGACCCGATAAGCAGAGGATTGGGCCGGTCTGTGCAAAACCATCAAATAGAGCAGGTAAGTATGACAAGTTAGTTATTACAAAAAAAAAAAATACATGTCAAAATACATTTCCTTAAACCACTAGCCTACTGGGCACTTATACCATCTTCCTGCCCAGGCCAATTTTCAGTTATCAGCGCTGTTGCACTTTGAATGACAATTGCGCGGTCATGCAACACTGTACCCATATGAAATTTTGATAATTTTTTTGATACAGATAGAGCTTTCTTTTGGTGGGATTTAATCACATCTGGGTTTTTTATTTTTTGCTAAACAAACCAAAAACGACTAATAATTTTGAAAAAAAAAAAGTTTTTTTCTTCGTTTTTGTTATAAAATTTTGTAAATAAGTGATTTTTCTCCTTCACTGATGTGCACTAATGAGGCTGCAGTGATGGGCACTGATAGGTGGCACTGATGGGCACTGATGAGGAAGCACTGGTAGGTGGCACTGATGGGCATTGACAGGCATCACTGATGGGCACTGAAAGGCAGCACTCATATGGCACCGATAGGTGGCACTGATAGACGGCACTGACTGGCACTGAGAGGCAGCACTGACTGGCACTGTTAGGTGGCACTGACTGGCACTGTTAGGCGTCACTGATTGGCAGCACTGATAAGTGGCACTGATAGGTGACACTGAAAGGCAGCTCAGATGGGCACTGATATGTGGCATTGATGTGCACTGCTAGGCACTGATATGTGGCACTGATGGGCACTGGCAGGTGGCATTGATGAGCACTGACAGCTGGCACTGATGGAAACTGACAGGTGGCATTGCTGGGGCTACACTGATCATCGGGGCACACTGATCATCAGTGCCCTGATGATCAGTGTACATGTCCCCTCTGAGGAATGCCGATTACCGGCTCTCCTCTCCCCACAAGCTGTCAGCGTGACAGCTCGTGAGGAGAGAAATGCTGATAACCGGCGTTTCCCTATTTACATGCGATCAGCTGTGATTGGACACAGCTGATCATATGACTAAGCAGACATCTTCGGCTCTTTCCGTTGATCGGTGATCCGCTGTGTCAGAGGGACACAGCATACTGATTGCTGTGGTGCGCGCTCCCGGAGCCGTGCACGCATGGTTAGAGTGGGAGGACATCATATGACGACCTCCCAGAACGAGAGAACCCTTGTGCCCATCATTTCCTTATATGGAGGGCGGGAGGTGGTTAAAGCAGCATTGCTTTAAACTTTTCAAACAACCATTACTCTCAAATTTTCAAGCATTTGCCTTAAAAAAAAATGCCAGATGAATTTAATTTGCCACATAAAAAGGGAAGCAAATGTGCATTTTGAACAAAATATAGACACTGCAAAGTTCAGAGGAATTACTGTAAAATGCTAAGGAGTGACCTTTGGCTTTGAGTATAAGAACTGAAACATTTCTTTTCCTGCACATAAACCCTACAACAGAGTTACTGGGAGTCATTTCTGCAGAACAGTTAGGTGAAGGAGTGGACACTTTACATAATCACAGATCAAGTAAGGACAGACATGAAACTGTGGAAAGTATATTTTGGCAAGAGGAGAAAGCTGATAATGAATAATGTGAATAACCTCAAGCTCTTACTATGGTGAATACAAATGTAAATACAAATCAATAAGTATGAAATAAAACTGTAGCCGCTAGTGCACACAACTCATGTCTCAGTGATCTAAATAATGAATAATATCAATGAAAATATGCTGCACTACATATAACAATACCTAAACCATATATCTATACATTAAACAGTGATGACAAAAACAGAAACTAAGTGACTAAAAAAAAAAAAAATTAAATAAAATGGATTAATTGTCCAAAAAATGAATTTGGTTAAAGTCCAATAATTTAAATATTCTCCTGTGACCCCTCAATGAAATAAAGACCACCGTGTGCATCTGTCGCAGAAATCCAGTGCAAAATAATCTCCATCATACAGTGTATATCTGCTCACCTCCAGCAGTGTGACCTCACATTATACAATGTTTTGGTCTTACTGCACTTTTGGTCCCAAATGTATGGACTCTGAAGATCAAATTGCTGAATGATAGCTCCAAAAGATGCAGATAACCGTGTCAGGCTCAGCCGTATTCCTCATAAACAAAAACTTAAAATAGTGCTTTATCCTTTAAAACTTTTATTTGCACATTAACCTCCCTAGTGGTTTTCCCGAGTCTGGCTCGGGGTTAAATGTAGCTGTCAAAAGCGGTAACCCCGAGCCAGACTCGGAGTCGCCGCAAAATACATACCTGCTCCTGCGATCCGTGTCCTGGGTCCTGCAGCTGCCTCGAGCTATCCGCTCCAACTGTCCCCTTTCTCCTTCCCGGCTATCTCACACTGATCTGTGTAATGAGCGTGAGACAGCTGCGCTGTGCCGGCGGGGCGCGGGGCTTGCGGGAGGCAGGAGTTTTAAAAATAGACCTGTGTAAAAATAAAGTGCTACTCTAGTGAATACATTGTAACATTACCTCAGATATATCCATAGTGCAGTTTTTTAGTTTCTGTGAATAAAAACAGTTTTGCACTCATGGCTTTCAAAAAGCATCTTGCTAGCGCCAAAGCTGTTTTTGATGAACAGCGACAGTGAGGAGCTACTTGAATTGAATAGTGACTCGTGGAGATTTGTCTTCAGACACTGACAGTGAAGACAGCGGCAAATCTGAAATTGACGTGAGTGATCTGCAAACGTGGTGCACTATTGTTTACGGTACACCAGCGCCGCCAAGATTCCCGTTTACCAGCGCACCTGGTATGAAATTCCACGTTGAAGGTGACAACCCCTTTGGCGTACTTAGAATTGTTTCTGACAGATGAGGTTATTGGAATAATTGTGATGGAGACAAACAGGTACGAAGCACAACAATTAGCTGCTCCATACAGCAGGTTTTCACGAAGCAGAAAGTGGGACCCTGTGACCAAGAGGACATTTGGCTGTTTCTCTGCCTAATTATTCTTCAAGGAGTGGTGGGGAAACCGCTGCAGAAGTGGTATTGGATCACCAACAAAATGCTTGCCACGCCTTTCTTTGGCACAGTCATGTCGGAGTACTGTTTTTCACTCATTAAATTTTTGCACTTCGCAAGCAATGACGATTTTGACGAATAGACTTATCCGACTCCCAAACTAAAGAAAATTTGGGAAATCTCCCAAATAATAATCAGGAATTTCCAGCAGAGCTATGTGCCAGAAGTGCCAGAGATAGACAGCAGTATAGATGAAAGTCTAATGGCCTACAAGGGAAGGCTCAGCTAGGTACAGTACATCGCATTCAAGAAAGCATGATTTGATGTCAAATCCTACCTGCTGTGCGAATCCTCTACTGGCTACATCTGGAACACAATTATTTACACCGGCAAAGGAACAAAATTTGATCCAAAGTACAGCAAAGATGGAATGGCAACATCTTCCGTCCTGTCATTAATTGAGCCTCTGCTAAACCAAGGTTACTGTGTAACAATGGACAATTTCTACACCTCTCCAGAACTTTACAGGGTTCTTCTGTAGCACAAAACGTATGCCTATGGAAACGTTAGGGCTAAGCGGCGCAACTGCCATACATTTTTTGAAAAAGCAAACTGAAGTCTGGAGAAATAGCTGCCTGGCAGAAAGGCAAAATGATGGCACTGAGATGGTGGGACAAGAAGGATGTGTGCCTAATGAGTACAGTTCATATTGCCTCCACAGTGATGGTACAAACAAAAGGTGGGAAAAACATTCAGAAGCCTCAGGTTGTTATTGACTACAATAGCACCATGGGAGGTGTCGACAGAGCTGACCAAGCTATGACTTTCTAACCAGCAATGAGAAAGCAGCAGAGGAAATACTACAAAAAGATTTTCTGGCATCTTCTAGAACAGTGTTTGTAGAATGCCTATATTCTGTTCCGCAAAAAAAGTGACAAGCCTGTGCTGCATGCAGACTTTATCTGGAAAGTTGCGGAATCCATTTTCCTCAAACACCAAATGCCATCAATGTCTGTGGGTAGATCCGGACGACGTACTGTGGGAGTTGTCAACCCAGAACGCCTGACTTGATGTCACTTTATGGACCACATCCCACCAACCCAAAAAAAGGCAGCACCTACACGGATGTGTGTGGTATGTTGCTCTCGGCGAGATGAGAGTGGAAAAAAAATCTGCAAAGAAACGAGGTTCCACTGTCCTGATTGTGATGTCAGACTTTGTGCAGTCCCGTGTTTCAAGATATACCACACCCGGGATGTTTTCTAGAACAAAATGCAGTGTCTATATAATATTGTTTGGACATACAGTAGTTCCGTGTGTTTGATTTGATTACATTATTTAATTTATTATTATTATTATTATATTGTTATTTTTATAATTATTATATTGTGATTTAATGTATTAAACTTTATCGCACTCAGGATGTCTACTAGACTCTACTAGACAGATTTCAGTTAGTTATTCCTAAGAATTACAGGCCTACAATAAAAAAACATATTTCCATTGAAAACAATGTACCGCTTTGAGCACAGAAAGACTGACATAATCATACCGCTAGGAAGGTTAAAACATAGGAAATGCACTCACATTCCATAGGTCCATATCTGCATCATGTATGGGGAACATCCAGTAATGTACTAATTATGCACAAGATGGCAGTATCATCCCCAGCAGTATAAAAAACAGTCAAGGCTCCAAAAGGTCACTATACACAGTATATTGCACGGCAATGCACGGGCCCTATGTGTAACTGCAATTGCCTACAATTCCAATGAATGGTAATATCGTGACGTCATCCGCACGCTCCTCCCCAACGTGTTTCTTCACAGATCATGTGACTATCATATCCCCTTGATAAAGTCATGTGATCTGTGATGAAATGCATTAAAATAACAAACATGTTATTGCACAGAGCAGTCCCAATTCTCCTCTTGTCGTGTCCCCCGATGGCGATCTTGGCTCTTCCTCTTCTTCCTGTGTCCCCATAGCAAGCCGCGCTCCATAGACTTTCACAGCAGGACCCTCCCCCACTTCCTCCTCACTGCATATGATTGCTGTGTGAAGAGAAAGAAAGGGGAGAATAGATGCAGTCGTACACACAACTGGAGCTATTCTCCCCTCTCTTACCCTTCACACAGAAAAAGGTAAAAAAAAAAAGTTTTTAGTTTTAGTATCACTTTAACTTCAAGCAAACAGCTAAATACATATGTAAGAGGGGCTCTGCAATTAGCTAAATGTTGGCACTGATGCATAAGTTCCTGCCCTGTTGTTGTCCTTTTTAGAACATTAACCCTTCTGCTGAGGCTATACCCCATATTGTGCCCTTTTCCATTCTAGAGGCCTCCACACGATACTCCCAGCCTTTGACCTTTATATCCCCCAAGGAAGGAATTCCACAGATAACTAAGCTTCCTGCACTTTACTGGTGGTATTTGGAAAATGGCACAAAATAGTCACATCACTTCGACATACATTCCAGAGTCACTTGACAGATTGCCAATCTTATTTAGTGGACGGTCCACAGCAGACACATGTGAAAGCATATGCAACAATTCCATCTTTCCTCAGACAGTGTCCATCTTCAAGTTCCAATCCATAGCTGTACCCAGCCTGGTATACTTCCTGCAGTTACTCTCTTGATCCCAGAGTCATTAGTGCTAACTCAGAGGGCTCTGATTTGCCCACTAGGCTTTCGGCATCCAGCCCATGATTCTCCTTTAGTCATTTCAGAGACAGGATTGTCACAGCTGCTCCTACTGAACTCTGTACACCTCTCCTGGAATTTCTGCCCTGGACCTTGGCTGTGTTGACTACATCTGCATAGGTGTGGGGTACTTGGCTCCCATGCCCCATCTGCACTAGGGCACCTCCCAACTGGGCTTATATATGATAGGTTGCCTCACCTATGACATCACAGCAGAAGAGCTCTACCTAAAAGGGGCCTAGCACCTGATAGCACTGTTTGCTGTAAC